GATCGCTATTTCATTGCATAACTACCATGCTAAGCAATCAGCAAGTTATAAATAAACCGGGCGTGATCTCCCCTAAACTTTCTCAAATATTCTTATATACCACTACGGGGGATGGCAACTCGGGATATAGACATTATTGTTATTCCATTTTTAATTACTTTTTAATTAGCCTTTGAGGGTGATCTGTTTGTTACGTTTGGTTGACTTGCTCCCTTTCGAGTTGGTGTTTGGCCACACCATTCGAGGCCCAATGAAGTTACTCAAGGAACAGTGGACGACGTCAACGCCCAACAACGGCACTGTATTAAAACATGTGTCCGACCTGAGGTCCCGACTCAAGAGTGCCTGGGAATCCTCCAAGAAGTTCCTGACATCGCACCAGAAAAGTATGAAGGAGTACAACGACCAGAAGGCCAAGCGAAGCAGCTTTGTACCGGGTCAAGAAGTGTTGGTCTTTTTCCCCAACACAGGGCACAATCTAACATGCAGGTACAGAGGACCTTACACCATCAAGTCAAAGGTAGACCAGCTCACAACACAGGGCACAATCTAACATGCAGGTACAGAGGACCTTACGCCATCAAGTCAAAGGTAGACCAGCTCAAAACACAGGGCACATCTAACATGCAGGTACAGAGGACCTTACACCATCAAGTCAAAGGTAGGCCAGCTTAACTACGTTGTTACTACTCCCAGCATCAAGACAAAGGTAGGCCAACTTAACTACGTTGTTACTACTCCTGACAGGAAGTCAAAGGTAGGCCAGCTTAACTACGTTGTTACTACTCCTGACAGGAAGTCAAAGGTAGGCCAGCTTAACTAAGTTTTTACTACTCCTAACATGAAGAAGACAGAGCAGCTGTGACATGTAAACATGTTGAAGCCATACCACCGAAGGGAGACAACGCATGTTTCCAAGCCTACCCGCAAGCCAGTGGCCACAGTTCAACAATCTCCGTCTGATGTTAACGACGAAAGAAGTGCGAACTGTTTGTTACCAGCCAACACGTCTTCTGAACTCTGTCGTTATGAGCGATTTAAGCGGTAAGCTTGCACACCTGAGTGAGAAGCACTCTGAAGCTCTTGCTAATTTAATCCATGATTTTGCAGATGTATGTGGTGATATTCCAAAAGAAACCAATCTCTGCGAACATGATATTGATGTCGGCGAATCGGCTCCACTTAAACAGCATCCATGTAAAGTTAACCCGAAGAAGTTAGCTGTTACCCGTCAAGAGGTTCATTATATGTTGGACGACGACATTATTGAAAAAACAGTAACTGGTCTTCTCCTGTACTTTTAGTTCCTAAACCTGACAGAACCTACCGTCTAAACTATAGAAGTAGGCTCTACCATTAGTCTATATGATCAACAAATACGATCAGTGTTTCTTTCAGACTTTTTCCTCCCCTGATGGGGGTGGGGGGGGGGGGGACTTGAAATTTTTAGTGCGTGCGTGTGGACTAAATTTTCTGGCAGAGAGAATACACTGGTGTCACGGCCTTTTTGTACTGTCAACTTCATGGCACAAACTCAAGACAAATACCAACCGCATCACTGTTGTGTTATTGCTTATTAAGGCCTGATGGATAACACCAAACAACTTTTGTCCTGGTAATTTACACAATTTTATTGATTCAAAGATATAACTGCTTCATTACTGTAACAACATGAATTCTTTGTTGTTGTGGGTTAGTTTTCACACAGGAATACAAGCAATAGTGGCAACTTCAAATGATGACTTTATTTACACTATATACAGTGAGAATGATAAATCCATGGTTATTCATGGTAAATCCATATTAGAAGATACTCAACAAGTACAGTCACAGTCACGACTCCAAGTCATGGAGACATCTTACATTCACTGCCACAGTTCAAGTCCCAAGTCCTAGCACACAACACCCGTTCACCTTTTGCTCTACCTTTTATACGGTCCATTCTCTCCCCTTACGTACATGAGCGATCTCACCCAAAATCATGAAAAAACACATGACGATCGCTCAGACAGTCCTTCCGCTAGCCAGGTACTCTTCATTCATGCAAAACACAATATAATAAAGATACATAATAATACAGTCTGTGACAATTACCAAACAACGCCATTTCTTCTTTTCCGCTTCCTCTCTACTTCCACTTTCTTTTGCGCATGCGCCCACCCACAATATATTTTAGATTTATATCGCCTTTTTACACCTCCACTCGAAACATACATTCACCCTACATTTGACTGTTACATATGCCCTTTCTCCCCTTTAAAAAATAATTTTTTTTTCTTATATACATCACATTCACTATAAATTCTTCATTATACATGTAACAGTTAAATGAAAATCATATTGAAAAAGAAACTTGCTAATGAACATCCTAAATTATATTATATGTACACTTACCAAATTGAAACAATGATATTCATAAAATACATGGCAAAATGCAATGCTTCACTTATCTTATTTAAGTATCGCCATTGAGGAAAATTGTACCTAAGGTAAACCTTCT